ATCACTTTTTGACGAGCTCAATTTACATAGATCATACTGAAAATAAATCTATGTTTCTGGATCTGCTTTTTCACCGTAATTGCTTCGGTAATTCGAATTTGAGTAATCACTTTGTCTCGCTTTATTTTTGCCGATTTCATCTTAAAACCAAGTGATTTTTCGATTTTTTTTTTTTTTGCAGTTCCTTTTTAAATTTCCACGTGGTTTTTAAAATTCAGATACATTTAATACGCTATTACAACATGTGATTTTTAAATCGTGCATTAAATATTTTAATCGCACACTTTTTGACTCTTTTATTTACTCTGATTGCATCGTAAAATTACTTTTACCACTCTTTTCCACATTATTTTGAAAATATCTAATTTTTACTTACAGATCATTACAACACGCGTCTTTCAAATCGCATATTTAAATAATCATTTTTTGAGGCGCTTTGTTCGTACCGATTTTATTGTTAATTTAAGCTGTTTTTCGGCAGTTAATGTGTTTCATTTCCATGTGGTTTTAAAAATTCAGAATTTTTTTACGTCATATGCGAATTTTAGACATATAAATAATTGCTTATTAACACGATTTATTCGTGACGATTTTATCGTAATTTAAGCGATTATTATTTTTTTTTGGAACTATTGCAATGTTCTTCCACGTGATTTTGACGATAACGTTTTTCTTCCTGATGATGCTACATGCGAGATTTTTTTATTTTTATCACGCATTTAAACAATCACTTTTTTTGACATAGTTTTGTGTCGTATTTCATCACCCATCTGTTATTTTAACACAATGTAATTGCAACATGAAGAATTTGAGAAGTGTCGAAAAACGTGACTCTTAAAGATGTTCCACTTGTTTCTAATTTCTTTTAAAAACTTGTGAAACTTGGGTTATTTTTTTCCAGGAGAAAAAAAAAACGCTTCCTATTTAAAATTCATGAAACCTCAAATAATTAAAAAAAAATAGAAATATTTGAAGTATAATACCATATAAATATTGAATCTTATTTATACTATAATTGTTTCATTCTGTGCAGATAACTTTTTTATTCTTAAAGTTTGAGTTTATTTTAAAAAAGGCTTATGCGTGATGACAAAATGAGCGAAATTTTGTGGTTACAAAATATATAACGCCCCAAGTTCAAAATATCGATATAATCTTTAGTTTTTCTTTTTTCATACAAAAGCACGTTCTAATTATGTGACCTACATCTATATTAAAGCTGGTAATATAGCACTGCTAATTACTCTTCATTTGTCTCCACAATAACATATAGAAATGAAACTTTTTAGTTTTTCTTATTAAATTAACTGATAAAGAATATATGATCCCAAATTTGAGACACCCATCTTGGTAAAAACATTTATTACTGCAATTACCCCTTATCTTCCCGATAATTACTAATATCCAAAAGAATTTTTTTTTTTTCTCTATAAATCTCGTAAAGAACACATGGTTCAAATTTGAGACTCCAATTTTGTTAAAAACGTTGTATTGACCACCCCAGTTCATACAAAATATCGAAATGAAACTTTTTGGTTTTCCTTTATTCCTGAAAAAGGATTGTATGATTTAAACTTATTTTGATTAAAAGACGTAAGACTTCTACCTTGATAAAAAAAAAATAAACTTTAACGTTACAGACAATTAAAGCTATTTACCTCATTAGTTAAAATAACTTAGTTTTTCTCTTCATTTGATAAGGAACACTTGGAAGTTTGTGACTTATCTTTGTGAGGAACTTATTCTATTGGGGGAAATTACCCCAATAATTGCAAAATATCGAAATTAAATAAATTTATCACAAAATACATGTGTTCCAAACTTAGTCTAACTTAACGGAAAGTGTAATAATGGGTGATGAGTGAGGGAATTAGCCAGAGCTTTTCTTTGATATATACAAATACACAGTTCTTTTCTTTCAAATGAAAGCGATTAGACATTCACTACATAGGGATTATAGTGAAATGTTTTTAGTACACTCTGAAAATAAAAAGATATTAGTCAGCAACATAAATTAAATGGAAAAAATACGTGCAGTTTTATAAGACCATATTTTTAAATTTGCATTAAAAATAAATCATTTTTTGAAAACTGAATTATTTTAAATAAAACAAAATATTCGTTATAATTTGACTAAAATGAATTACTTTTCTTAGAAGAAAAAAAAACTAATATAAAACACTAGAGGCTTATTTTTTCTTTACTCAATGCCTTGTATGATGTTATTTTAATAAAAAATTAGTTATAAGTTTAAATTAAAATCAATTCCAATTGAAAGCCAAAAACATCTCATTTCAGTAACAGAAATGTACCAGACATTGGACAGTGAGTTTTGAAAATAATTTTGCATAAGTACTTAGATAATGTGAATAAATATATATAATTGTTTATTTAGTTCAAATATTGTACATATGCTAGAAGAAAATTAATTTTTATCTGTTTATGAAAATAAAGGTATAAAAACTAAAACCCATGAAGAAACCAAAATCTATATTAAGTTATAATTGTTGAGAATAAAAATATTAAAATTTTTTCCAGAATAATTAACAAACTAACAAGATACACCGTCCTTATCAGTAATGAAGATTATCTCAAGAACACCAATTTGCGCTTACAACTGCAGACTCACTTTGCAGACTATATGCCTGTTTTTCTTTGCACTTCAAACGTTTTTTAAACCTTTTTGTACATTTCTAGCCCGGTAAGCATACTGCAGACTTTTATGCTTTTTATTGACAGGTTTTAAAGGATCCACATAAGACTACAGTACAACAGCTATTAACGTAAAAAATATTTTTGTATTCCTTTGATAATTAAAATTAAGATTTTTATAAAGCCAGTTACAATAACTACATCTGGATGCAAATAACTGAATAACAAAATCATGCTGTTCTATCCTTCTCCTACAAATTTGGAAATATTTGTCGCACCAGCATATAAAAATCAAAAATATTTGGAAAAAAAAAAAGTTCACTAAAATACTTCTAAGATCAGTCAATCTGCTATCAGCAAAACATGAAAAATTAATATCTATCAGTATTTTTACTACAAGAAAATAAATAGGCATGCAAATTGCATACGCACGTTAATGACATTTTTTAGCTCTATAACTTCTAAATGGCAATTGATATTTTTTTTACATGTTGCTAGACAAAATTTACTTTTATGAAATTTACTTCTGCTCGTTGGCCTTTTTAATCACCATAACTACTTTAACAGTTTGTTTTAGATTGCCTAGATTAATTTGAACTGTTGCTGCTCACCAAATCGTTCTGTATGTTAGTCAAACTTAGTATAATTTCTGGAGCATTTTTCTTAAATGACACTCCATTAATATGCATCATTTAAATTCTGTGAAACCCGATTTAAATTTCCCTAAGATAAATGTAGAAAAAAAAGCACACTAACAAAGTAGGCAAAAAAAAGTTAATATAGTTAGGTTAAGAAAAAATAAAGTTGATTCAATGAGCAATGTATTTCTAGCAAAAATCTTTGTTGATCAAGCACACCTCTTGTGTGGTAAGTATTAAAATTAAAAATAGTTCTAAACCTTGTTAATGGCATGAGTTTAAAATATTTTTAGACTGAAAATGAAGCAAATCCTACGTATTATAAATACAAAATTAAGTTAATAAGCTTATGTAGCCACTTTTGAAAATTTCAATCAGCTTAAAAAACATACTTTACAGCCATCTGCATGGCAAAAAAGTCATGCAACAGAATAGTTCAAATTTAAGAAAATTTTTCGATTAATTACATTTTCCGTTATATATGTTGTTCACACATTCATATTTAGAGACAAGAAATAATTTAAGTAGAAATCAACATTTTTTTTAAGTAAAAGCTCTGATATACACGTTGACGGAATTTTAGTAAAAAATACTTTAATGAATAAAAAAGAATGCTTTGGTTTAGTTTTAAATTACAAAGCATAAAGTTCCATAAGTGGATGAGATATTTCGTGCATAGTTCAAAAACTTCCCAAGTTTCAACAGAAGAATCAATCCAGGATAGTAATTCAGAGGGCAAGGAAATAAATACTATTCATTTGGTACTGTTTACAAATAAAAATGTTAGATTTATATTCAAAGCAACAAATAAAAAAAATAAATAAAAAAAAAATTTTTTTTTTTGAAAGATAGTTTATAAATTTTAACTCAAAAATATTTTAATTATGTTATTGACCAATTAAAAAGTCAAATGAATCAAACTGAATTCTGCAGAAAAAGGTCTTTTGAAAAATTATCAAAGGAGTAATGCTAATTTTCCAACAATTAGCAGTAGCAAATTTATTTTATATTTAGTTTCATTAAAAGGTAGTATGGCATGAATATTGAAGCAAGAATCATATCAATTAAATAATATTTTTTTTTGGTGCAGATTTATAATATCTAAATAATATGAAGGATTTGAAAAAAATTAATATTTTACAAAAAGAAGCCTGAGCATGTTTAATTACTTAAAATGTTTTCAACTTAATATTAAATACAAAGGTGATCATGCTGTTTAAAGTTTTTAGAAACAGATATGAATTGAAATGCTATTTTTTATTATTATGGGAAAAACTTTTAAAGTTAAGAAACGCACTTGAGTTTTGATGAACAAAAATATTTCCTATGAAATTATATTCTTTAATTTAAAGAATCATAAAAAAAAACATTTTTTTTTTTTTAAATTTATAACAAATTGGAGCTTAGACAAAAATAATAAATCAAGGGGTCTCTTGCTTCAAAAAATTAGGGTGCTTCTGGTTTAAAACCAAAAATCATAACACTATAGAAAAGGCTATAAACACGAAGAGGTAGTGTTTGTATAATAATTTAGTCTGCAACATTTCAGGGAATTAAATTGACTTATTTTAAAAACTGTCAGTTGTCAATGAACTGAATTTTTAAAATCGTATTTGCACAGTAAAATCTCATACCAATAATTAAAATATTTGAAGTTCTTTTAACAGACATTCACAGAAGACGGGAATTGGATATGATGCAATAGACAAATTTGTTGGCATTATTTCTCTTTTATTGTGTTCAAGTTGTACAATAGATGAAATGAAGTAGTCAATATGCAGGTTGATAAAAAAAAAAAAAAAAAAAATCAGACAATTTTTAAGATGCTATTTACAACACTTAGTAGTAACAGGAATGTCTGCTTCTACGCGATGAAGTATCAGGTGAAGACATACGACACAGTAATTCCCTACCAGTTGCTGCCGTTTCTGTTTAAATGAAAAAGGTTCACAAATTATACAATAAAGTTGATATTTGCAGAAATAACAGTTGAAATTTTAGTACATAAGAGGAATGTAAGCTTTGCTTGAATGTCAAAAAGTCAATGCTCTTAAAAGATGCAATCAGTATCAGTGACTATCACTTAATATCACATATAAAAGTATTAACATGAAATCCATTAATTTTCATAGTTGAATGAAGTTCATTGAAAAATAACAAGATCAGCTCAACCAGCTTCGTAACAACTGTGTTTAATGCTACAAGGGCTGTGTTCAATGCCACAATTTTGTGAACTGGATCTTTTTTTGAAGGAATTGTTGAGAATGTAAATTTTGGGAAATCAGTAACTTGTTGACAATGTATCTTTTAAGCAAGTAACAGTATCAATCCGTAGGGTGAGATAATGAAAACAATAAATTAACCCTTTATGATGTGATTAATAAGATTTAAATCTGTAGATTCAGAAGATACATATTTGTCAGCTACATAAAAATTTCTCCCTAAACACAAAGTTTACTCTTCATGTAACCACAAACAAGATATACAGGGTTTGACAAAGTCTTGCCCTTTTAATTTGGCAACATATCAAAAAATTGAAAATAAGCAACACTTCAACTATGAAATTTAATTAAAAATGTGGGTATTGTTTATACATGACTGTAAATATCTGTTGTTCATATGCGATACAAAAACCACAGTAGGGGGGAAAAAATAAGAAATATTTCAAATTCATTAATAAGATTATTTTAGGAACCATATTTTGAACATTTTTAAATGAACATTTAAGGATGTAATTGATAACACAATTTTGTACAGTCCTTTGAAACCCCAGGGGTGCAGATTATGCAGTTTGGAAGGAATGAGGTTCAGGTCTAGGGAAGCATTAGGTCAGATTAAAAGGGAAAATTGTTACAAAATTTTTGGTTGTAAGAACTTTTGAAGCAATTTTTTTATTATTTAATATTACGACACCGTATAAGAGAGATGGAAAAATTAATTAAATATTAAAATATCCATAGTTGATTTTCATTTCTTATCTTTCTTATCAATACGGTCAAAATATATAAATTACTGTCTAAGAAGAACATTTTCTGCTAAGTCAAATGTATATAACTTTAATTTATAAATGAATTAGTTTTACTTATTAGTTTGAAATTTTTAAGTTTATAAGCAGAAACTTAAATTAAGTGTTATGAATTATTACAATTTCAATTTTTTAATTTTTATTATTTTTAACAAACACACATACTAGTTGGATTAATGAAAGAAAGAAATGATTACTTGTAAATGTAAAGCATAATATGCATTTTAAATTAATTTTAAAATGCATAAATTAGTTTTAAACTATAAATATATGTTCATAAAATGAAATGCACATATTTTTTTATGGTGCACGGTGTGTTCATTAACATTTGGCCAATTACTTTTCACCGAAATCCTTACTTTTTTGGAACTTGAATAAATTTCAATAAAGAATAATCTAAAATCTTATTTTTAAATATACAATATTAGAAAGAGCTTTTACACATATTAATCAAATTTCTGAGAGGTACCTATTTCGTGAAAATTTAGACATAATTTGAGAAAATTAAAAAAGTCAACACACAAACATTGTAAAAATATGGATTTATCGTATCCTACGGGATACAAAAATAAAATTTGTGAATGTATCGCTAAATGGTAGTAAATTTAACTAAAAATTTTACGTTCGAATTCTAAAAATGTATTCAATTCAGAAGAAATATTAAATATGTATTATACATCTGCTGATGTATTTTAAAACTCTGAAAGGTATACAGTCCAAATAATTTATTTGGATTAGTGCAGTGTGTATATATCACATTAATGAGGTCGTACACATAATGAGATCACACGTGACTTAAGTAATGTGTTAAAATTTAGCAATTTTTTTTAAAATTATGTACTTAATTTTTATTACATAGTTAGTTAATTTGTATTAAATTTTGTCTGAAAAAAAAAAAAGCTTTGCAACTTTAAAAAAAAAAAAAAATTCATAATTTTAGAGAAAATTTATAAACTGTACTGGACAAATATTTGACCATGAGCAGGGCTTAATCCAGGTCGATTTTGGTACCGTTTTTCGGTAAATTCACAAAATTTAAAAAAAAAATAATCGGTACCTTCACAAAATTTTTAAAAAAAATCGATACCTTCACAAAATTTTTAAAAAAAATCGATATCTTCACAAAATAAAAAATCAGTATTTCAACAAACTTTAGAAAAAAAAAACGCATCTTCGCGAAAATAAAAAAAAAGTTCGAAGGAATTAAAGTGCTGAATAGTTTTCCGAGCGGTTATTATAATTTTATCTATGTATTCTGTATTTCTATTATTTTTTCCACCATTAATTCAAAAGTAAAAGTTAGCACAATATCAAAATAATAATTTCTTAATCATAATAAGTTCAATAAATTTTATTAGTAAGTAAGTTAAAAAAATTTTTTAAACTTTATGTAAATCTAATTTTTAACCATGATATTAATCTGTATAGTAAATTCCATAATTTCTATGCTGGCTGGCTGCATAATTTACATTGAATTAATAAATGGAATTAATCTGCAAGCTGTCTTATAAGCAATTCCTTGCGCAATATGTGACTGTTTTTTTATAGTATTGTACTCTTTGTATACATATGTAGTTTTTTTTTATTATTTTTTTTAGGAATACTAAATTTTCACAAAAAAAGTTTTTTTTTCACGAAAAATTTTTTTTCTTCACAAAAATAGGTACTAGGATTGAAAACCTGGATTAAGCCCTGATGAGAATCTTCTGCACCCCAGTTAAGCACATTCTTTAATATGTACAATATTGCAGACAAGAATCATAGGTGACACGATATATATTATGTAACTGATAACTACAGAAAAGACAAAACTGAATCTTTGCCAAGTCTTTTCTGACCAAATATTTTGTTAAGCCACAAAAAATCATTGATTATCTTTTATGAGCTAAAGGAAGGACTGGGAACAGTACTAATTTTTGGAATAATCCATCCAGTTCTTCATTTCAAGATCACAATCCCTTTTGGGTAATAATTTTTTTCATTATTTAAAATACACTAGTTAAAAATTATGCAAACATTTAATTTCTGCCCAGAAATTTAGGAATTCTATCTACTGTTCATGGTTCAAATTTTATGTTTTCTTGAATGCTGGGAAGCAAGAAAAGAAAATTACACTTTACTAAACTACACAGCCGTGAAAATTTTAATACAGTCAAACCCCGTTATAGTTTACCTTCAAGGGACCTAAATTTCAGTTCACTTCATCTGTTCAGGAAAGAATTTTAACTAACGGTTCCAAACTCCTTTCCATTATACATTATTTAAATGACCAATCAAATGAAATACAAAAATGACTGAAAAATAATGCACAGTAACAAATAATGTGTTAACTTGCTTTTATTTTTAATTACTCTTTGTCTTGTGTACAAAAAAAATAAATTAGTAATCTTTAGCTAATGCAGGGAAAAATTTGTCCATACATCTGCCTGGGTAGGCCTTTATTTAGGGATGGAAAAGTGAAAGAAGCTAACAAGAAAAAATGCTTATTGCTACATTCTACTCTATAGATGGTTTCAAAAATCGGTATAAGAATTTATTTTGAAGTAGACATTTCAAAATTATTTTTAAAAAAAATAAATAAATAAATAAATGAAGAAAAAAAAAATCAGTTGAAGAGAGAAAAAAGTTCAGAATATAAAACTTCCTCACTCTTTTAGTTTACTATATCCACAAAAAATAACATACGTGTTTAGCAAGGCACGGGACCGAACATTTCGTTCGTTAATATATCCCTCACCCCAAAAAAATCATAAAAATTCAACCAGTTGAGAATTCTATTATTATTCAATCGGTAATTTAATTTTTAAATAGAATATGAATAATAAGGCAGTATTCTTAAGGGATGGCTGCTTTTTACAAAAATGGCAGAGAGGCAATTATTAGATATCAAAGGACCAGGGGAGGCAACTTAAGTCTTGGGAGAACACTGACAGAGGGGAAAGAGCACAGCAGATGCAAGCTAATTACAATTCCTTTATTTTAATGAATCAATAAAATAATGACACCTGAAGAACTCAAAAATTCGTCTTTAGTTAGCTTGATTCCCAATTTTAACCAGAGATCCAAAAAAAATTATGAAACTATATTTGATTAAAATACAGTTTAACAAGCATCAGTGATAACTAACAACCAATAACCTTTGTTTCCCTTATTAACATAATTAAATTTTTTTAAACATTTAGTTTAAGAATCTCAGTGACCCCAGAAGCAGAAAGGGTCTAAAACTGCGACGTGCGTCGCAGAACAAACCAAGTCCTGCAGAACAATTTGCAGGGGTTTGTCTAGGTTTTTCTGAAAGGTACCTATTTTGTGAAAATTTTGACATAATTTGTGAAAAATTATATTAAAAAGTCAACACAAAAACATGGTAAAAATATAGATTTATTGTTTCTTAAAGGATACAAAAATAAAATTTTAATATAAAGTATTTTGTGAAACTGCCGTTTTTCCTAAAGTTGAATTTGTGAAACTACCGTCTTACCTAAAATTGAATTTGTGAAGGTACCGCTAAACGGTAGTAAATTCGACCTGGACAGACCCCTGATTTGTATCTTGAATAAGTGACAGCGTTTTCCCGCGACCTCCCGCCTCCGATAGTTTTGTAGAACAATCCCCAACATTCTTTTAAGGCAGCCCTTATTTTAATTTTCGGCTCTTCATATCATAGGCATTTTATTAATAATTCATCATCATCGTCATTAGCAAAATTTTGTACTTCAAAAGTGATTGAAAAAGTAACAAATCAAGAATGTTGGTCTTGCTTTAAAAAATAATGTAGTGTATTTGTGCATGATCCTGTATTTTAATAAATGAAAATATAATATTTTAACGTTAATTTGACCTCTTTTTGCTGTGAAATACTTGCAGAACATTTGTATAAATTAATAAGTCCTGTTGCAGAACATTTGAAAATATTCTGTTTATGGGTCAGTGACTACTTCATAAAAACTTATTTACCAAGCAACCGTAGAAGCAAAGATTTCTTTTGTTGAATTTCTTTTCTGTTAGGAAAAAAAAGATTTAAAAAACTTAATATGAGTGTTTAAAATACTGAAATTGAATGATTATGTTCAGTTTCTTAAATTTAAAACAAATCATTAGGAACTAATACCACAGTATTTGATGTACAGTACTTTCATACATATCTAATTCACGGAAAGTCAAAACGAAACAACCTAAAGTACAATTCAAAGACTTAAATTACATTTTTCAATTGTAAAACTAAGTGCATCTAATTACACTCAATATTATTAATAATAAATTTAAAAATACCTTTGACCCATAGGAGAGCGACTCCTATATCCTCCAGAACTTCTATCACTTCCACCTCGGCTGTAAGGTCTATCATAGCCTCCGCCGCCACGACCTCCACCACCACCATAACGTGAACCGCCGCTGCCTCTGCTTCCTCTGAAGCCGCCACCTCCTCCTCCACTTCGGAAACCAGAATCATAATCTCTACGACCACGGCCTCCTCTAAAGCCGCCACCCCCTCTTCCACCACGTCCTCCTCTACCTCGACCACGAGAAATATCACATCGGATTTCTGATCCATTAATTGTGGCTCCATTCATTTCTTTTATCGCTTCATTAGCATCTTCGTCATCCTCAAAGTCAATGAAGGCAAATCCAGGAGGATTTCTAGCTACCCAAACTTTAGTCAAATTTCCAAACTTACTGAATTCCCTTTCAAGATCTTCTTTTTGAACATCATCACTCAATCCACCAACATACACACAGGCAGGAGACATCTCTAACACCTAACCAAATAATTAAAATTTAATAAACTTCAAAATCATACATGGTTAGGCATAATCACTTCAACTCCTCTCGAGTTACAAATACCCACTTTTTAAGAATTATTAAATTTAAAAATACTTTGAGCTCACTTATTTGGATTCAACGGTTAGTTGCAAAATACAAATACTTACTAAAATCAGGATCAAAATGATTTAAGACTTAGAATTGTTTCACTTATGAAGACCTAACATTATAATACCCAAGATTGCAATGTACTACTGCATAATGATACTAAGTTGAGGATATATACAGGTATAAAACTTTTTACATCACCTATACAGACAAATGCTGTGCGAAAATGGTTTTAAAATGGATAACCTGCTAATAGTAATATCTGACAATTACAATGAATAATTACTTTAAAATTTAATTTTATTTTCAACATTTGATACGAATACATTGACAAGTTTTAGCAAGCTAAATGTTGTCCTTTTATAAGTTAAGTTTGTTGTTATACATTGTAATCTAATGATTGATGATTAATTTCTAAAATATTAAGTTAAATAAACCTTATCTCAATTTATGGACTGTCGAAAGTTTAACTATCCTGAAGATACTAAATTTCGAGAAAAAAAAAAGAAAGAGTTAGGCTATAAAGTGAACAATTTAAAGTTTCAGTGATATACACTTAAAAATGAATTATAAAATTAGCAAATTACTCCCAGATCCCAGCGTCCGGCATAAAATTGACGAATTTATTACTTTAACTATAAAATTTGTTATTTCAGTTTAATTTATGAAAATAATTAAGACTAGAGGGTATTTCAAAGTCAAATACTAATCAGACGTAGTTAAACGCATAACAGTAATTTTGGGCAATTTTTCTTATTTTTTAAATATTCGGCTTGTTACACTTGTTTCAGTCTTACAATCTTACCAAGCCGATTTGAATACAAGATCTAGAAATCTGATATAAAGCAAAACAACACAGTTTACAATGAAAATTTAAAAACGCAGAGAAGTAATAAACACCGGTCACAAGCAAAATATAAATTCAAGACAGTGCGAAAGTAATTTCTAATATCATTGGCAGAAAACTTAAACATTGAGAAGCTGATCAATTTATTTGTAACTTACTTTATGAGATTTTAGGATTTAAATTTCAGGAATAGACAATTTTTAAGAACTATTTTAACAACGTGAAAATGGCGCAAAGATTAGATTTTTGATCATCATAAGGATACAGATACGATTAAGAAACAGTTTAATAAACCATTTTTTAAGGTAGCATCCCCACTACATGCTAAAAAATCACATTTGCGAGACAAGGAGCTCAAACCTCGCAGACTTCGAACGAGCTAGGAAGAGAAAAATGACGTCATTTTGACGTCACGTTTCTACTCCTAGGGAAAACCTGAAACCTCGCGCTTTCGAACGGATTTTGCTAACGGGCTGCGATCTTCATTTTTCCTCCCATCTATCGGAAAGCTTTCACCTAACAATTTGCTGGTGAAAGCGATTCGAACGTTCGAATAGGATGCGTTTAACGCTGGGATTAAATTAGATTTCCGATTTCAAAGATAATTTTTACCCATATATTTTATGATTTTTTATAATCATTTACCTAGATATTTTATGAATATATTTCAGACATAATTTTTTCTCTCACAAATTTATTATTTCATATAATAAATGGATTAAATAATTAGTTTCGGTTTCTAGCAGAACTTATAATAAAATATATAATAATCTTGCACGACTTTAAATAAAACGTGAACATTTTTTCTGTTCCAAATTTTTGTGTGTTCTTAGCCATAATATGTTTAGTATAATTATTGCCGTGTTTTCATTAACTTTTATTTTAATTACCTCGTAATATTTTCAAAATATCTGCAGAAAAAAATGGAATTTTTTTCTTTAAAAAATTGGTGAGTTATGACTGAGATTAGTGCCAAATAAATAAAAAAGATTACTATAAATAAATCGTATATAATTTAAATAAGAATTACTATAAATTGTATGCTTATTTTTAATCCGCTATGCAATTTTCTATCAGAGATTTGAAAGAACTGAAGCTTTTAGAATATGATCGGTTTTGTAATTTTTATAAAGTAGTTGATTAGTTTAGATGCATAATTACGAAGCAAAATTTCATTTATTTTCACTTGTCTTTTGAGTTGGGTAGAATACAAGTGGGTAATAAAAAGCATGGAATATGAAGGGCGGAAATTTTTTCGATATAATCGTTTTTGAACTATTATTAAGTTGCAGTTAAATTTAGATGCATAATTAAGAAACATTTTTATTATTTTTTTTATTTTTCTGTTCATACTTTAAATGCGAAAATTTCATCTTTTATTTTCTAAGACAAAAAGATATTTTTACTCTTATATCTATCTATAATGCCAAAATATATTCGACAATTTATTTTTTGAAAAATTATCTATTATTTTTAGGAATAAAATTTGTTAAGATTAAGATTAAAAAAATTCTAAAATCACCTTTTTTAAATTTTTTTTGTTGTTAGAAATAGCATTAAAAAAGCAATTGAATAAGAAAAGCGTTTTAGAGTTATTTCTTAATCTTCTGTTTGACATTTGATCTTTTTAAAATAATTACTCCTTTAATAAAATGGTAAGTAATAAGTTTTAGGGTGGCAAAAAAACTTAAGCATTATT